ATCTATCTATCTATCTATCTATCTATCTATCTATCTATCTATCTATCCATCTACCTATCTACCTATCTGTCATCTATCTATCATCTATATCAAAGGTCTTCAAACTTGGCAACTTTAAGACTTGTGGACTGCAACTTCCAGAATTCCTGAGCTAAGATGATTGGAGGAGGAATTCTGGGCGTTGCAGTCCACAGTCTTAAAGCTGTCTATATATCATAAATCATCTATCTATCTATCTATCTATCTATCTATCTATCTATCTATCTATCTATCTATCTATCTATCATCTATCTACCTACCTACCTATCTATCATCTATCTATCTATCATCTCTATCATATCTGTCTGTCTGTCTGTCTGTCTGTCTGTCTATCTATCTATCTATCTATCTATCTATCTATCTATCTATCTATCTATCTGTCATCTATCATCTATATCAAGGGTCTTCAAACTTGGCAACTTTAAGACTTGTGGACTTTAACTCCCAGAATTCCTGAGCTAAGATGATTGGAGGAGGAATTCTGGGAGTTGAAGTCCACAAGTCTTAAAGCTGTCAAGTTTGAAGACCCACCTCCTCTACGGAAACTCTCTGGAGAATTTGAGGGGGGAGGGGCTTGGAATACACCTTGGGAAAGTGGGGGTGGGGTCTCCCAACTTGGCTGGCTGGGGACCTGTGGGAGTTGAAGTCCACAAGTCCTAAGTTGGCCGAGTTTGGAGGGGGCTACGACCATTCGCCACAGCCCACACTCAGCTGCAGGACGAAGAGTCAACACTAAAGATCGAAGAACTGGTGGGAAAGAACAGGGCTCTCCAACCTTAGCAACTTTAAGACTTCTGGACTTCAACTCCCAGAATTCCTCAGCCAGCAAAACAGGCTGAGGAATTCTGGAAATTGAAGTCCAGAAGTCTTAAAGTTGCCAAGGTTGGAGACCCCTGGGATACGGTCATTAAAAGAAAGGGTGCAAAGAGCAAGGGACTGTATCAGTGGTGGGATTCAAAAATATTTTACTACTGGTTCTGTGAGTGTGGCTTGGTGAGCGTGGCGTGGCTTCGTGGGCGTGGCTTCATGGGCATGGCAGGTGAAGGCTGCTGCAAAATCCCCATTCCTTCCCCACCCCACTAACCTGCTTTCCAGCTCCGTTCTCCTGTGCAGGGCAACCAAAGAAGACCCAGCCAATCAGCTGGGACTCGGGAGGCGGAGAATAGATGGGGGCGGGGCCAGTCAGAGGCGGTATTTGCTGGTTCTCTGAACTACTCAAAATTTCCGCTACCGGTTCTCCAGAACTGGTCAGAACCTGTTGAATACCCACCTCTGGACAGAATGAAATGCGAATGGCAAAACCTTAAATTTTTATTTATTTATTTGAAATTAGAATTAGATTAGCAGAACTTGGAAGGGACCTTGTAGATTATCTAGTCCAACCAACACCCCCCCCCCCCCACCCAAGCAGGAGACACTACACCATTTTGGACAAATGACAATCCAATCTCTTCTTGAGAGTCTCAAGTGATGAAGTTCCCACAACTTCCAAAGGATAAATTGTCCTGCGGCAAGTTTTCCCTGCAGTGAGTTGGCCGTGATCAGTTGGCCATAGCAATTTGGCCGTGGAGAGTTGGCTGTGGCAAGTTGTCCGATTCCCTCCAAGAAGAATAGATCTACGGCGATCCCCATGGATGGTCTGGCAGAAACAGAAATCCCGCCTTCCTATGGAATTAGGAGGAGCCTTCACACATTTGCGTTGCCATATACCTGCATAATTCATGTGACAGCTGCAGAAGACGAGCTGCACTCTAGTCCCTTATAAAGTTGCATGAATAATTGTCACTATTGATAAAATGACTTAATACTTTCATTTGGTTATGTTGCTTTTGCATATTGCTTAACATCACTAAATAGTTATACATTCATAGACAGTAATTAACTATATACATCCATAGCAATCAACATATTTCCCACCTTCATTCATTCCTTTTCCACAGGTATTTGCAAATAGATGAATGCTTACCCCATTAATTCAAAGCAAGCAGACTCTTTTTTTCCTAAGCAGTCAGCATTGTCATTAATTCTTCGGTCTCCAAACAGTGCAATATTTTCTTTACATTTATCATGTTTCTCTCATTGCATTTTTGTCACCTAGAAATATATATATATTTTCCCCTCTCTTTGGATCACATTCATAAGGTTGCACAATTTTTTTTAAATCCAAAGGTATCCCTGATTCTTCCATTATTGTGTTCACTGGGACATAAACATGAAACTATTGCCAACCTGTGGGTTCATGCACACCCAGACCAAGATGAAACCAATTCATGTGTTGCAACATACATTTCAGTCCTGTCATTCATAACGAAATCTTATAACTTCCCCTGCAGATGTTCATGAATATGATATCGATAAGATCTGACCACTTCAGATTCACTGGCACCTTTCCCATACTTTTAGTTTCACAGACATGTGACGTAACTTTTTCCCTTCCTTCTTATTTGTTAATTCATGCTCTTTACCGCCTATTCCTCCATCTCAGGTCACCATATTCTATATGGCATGTCATGGTCGTTGTTCTGAGTTCGGCTTCCCCCAAAACACGAGGCCGACTCCATGCCCCAGTAAAACCCCTTTTATTTGGTTTACTGTGAATTCCTCTCCAGCAAAGTCCTGGCCAACAGTCTTTCAAGATAGTTCACAGTTACAGACCTTTATCAGGCTTGGAGAGCTGCCAGGCCGATATCTTTCAGGCGCCACATTGTAGCAGACAATACTTGGCAAGAATGCAGGAACAGATAGATCTTCAGCCAAATGAACTAATTGTCTCCTGCAAAACCCCAGTCCCCTTTCGCTCCTCTTTTATTCTTCTTCTTAGTAAGATAAAGAAAATTACACCTGTGGCCCGTCAATTTTGGCTGTGCCACAAGCACTACCAAAGCTCAGATTTATACAAAATGTGTGCTTAACATTATTCAGTTGAAAACTGGGGCTCTAAACTAGGATTTCCGTCTTGCAAGCCCACATATTATTGTCCTTATCCTATCACTCCTGTACGAGTTACATCTCATATACTAACATGTTCATTAGACACAAAACCAGGGTCACCACTATGACCCATTTTAGAGGTGTGTAATCTGTACCCACAAGGACTGAATACTGGGACAGATCCAACGACGTTCTTAATATGATGGAAAAATTTCATGTTAAATTATGTTGTAAGCTGCCCAGAATTCTTTGGATATGAGATGGGTGGCAAATAAATTTTATAAATAAATTATAAAGTAAAACATGAAAGAGTTGCCACCGATTGGTTGCCAAACCATGTACTATGTCCAGATATTTTTTTTAACTACTTCTTGTTTTTTTCATATGCCAAGCAGCATCTTCAGTTTGAGGGGTGTAAGAAGTGGCCATGTGGGTGCTTCCATGTTATGACGGAGTTCATGTATCTCAGGCTTGATGGCCTTGATTTTGTCAATAAGCCACCTGAGATGGAACCAATTGTAGAATGTTGCAAGGCCATTGTTCACAATAAATATGAGAAGAAATTACCAAATCTTTTTCTTTGGGAAAAAAAATACTTCCTTTCCTCATTCATACTGAGCACTCCCTGAGTAAAGGTAAAGGAAAAGGTTCCCCTTGCACATCCGTGCTGGTTGTTTTCGGCTCTAGGGACCGGTGCTCATCTCTATTATAAAGCCAAAGAGCCAGCACTGTCCAAAGACATCTCCGTGGTCATGTGGCCGGCATGACTAAATGCCCGAAGGCGCATAGAACACTGTTCCCTTCCCACCTATTTTTCCCTATTTTTCTACTTGCATTTTTACATGCTTTTGAACTGCTAGGTTGGCAGAAGCTGGGACAAGGAACGGGAGCTCACTCCATTATGCGGCACTAGGGATTCGAACCGCTGACCTGCCAACCTTTCTGATCGAGAAGCTCAGCGTCTTAGCCTCTAAGCCACCGTGTCCCAGAGTATTCCCTGAGTATTCGGATGCATAATCCTCCTTTGGCATCCCTCGTTCTCATGAAACCAGCCTTGTCCCATCCTCACATTGTAAGGGAAGCATCCAAGTCTTCAATCTTTCCCAAGATGTCTGCAGGGAGGTCAAAGAGTCAAAATGGTGGTTGCCACCGAACACCTGAAGTCCCATTCCGTTTTTACCTATGCTTCATGTACTACTATTGCTTGTGTTGTGGCTGCCACTTTTACTCTTTACTCTTTCCTTACTCTAGTGTTTGCCAAACACAATCCATCCACAAAACCTGTAGGAGAGATGAGAATGTGTCAACTAATGAACCCTTTCTGTTGCCTCAGCATTGGTTGAAT